GTTTGGCGTGGGTGATGGCCGAAACTCGCAAGGACCGGCTTGGTTTTGGGTGGCCTGGGATCGGGTGGATCGTTCGATTATGCGACATGGCTGAGAATGGGAGTGTTGCGTACGTGGACAATCTGACTCGGCTCGTCACTTGGTTTAGGCCGAGTTTTGTTGACACGTCACTGCTTGGTTTTGCTTAACTTCGCTAAAATAAACGCCGGCATTGTGACATTCACTCTTTAAAAGTTTGTTCAAACTGTTTGTATGGTATTAAATTAGCAACATTTTAAATTTGTTCTTTTTGGGGTTTCTGTGACTTTGGTTATCGTATGTAGAATAGTACAATTGTGATGTAGTATAAAATAATTGTTGTATTTCTGTTTTGTTTGTCGTGAAAATGTATCATGCATTTAGTAGTCGGTATGCATTTAGTGTATTTATGGTTTTTTACTTAGAAAATGCTTTTTAATTGAGCTTTCAGATACGAGGATTTTTTTATTGGGTGTTTTGCTCTACGCTTGCTTACTTGAATGAACTTGTTCTTTTGTGTTCCTTGTTTATAACTGATAGTATGCGCTGTAGTGAAGAGCATTACGATGTTTCCTGCATATTTAGATTATCTCAAACTCACCGTTGTTCGCGCGAGTCAATTCACAACCCATCGGTCAACCAGCCGTTGTGCATGTCGCGCGACAAATTTGTCTGGGGGCGCACGCATTTTGCATCGCGCCGCGTTCGTATTTGTGTGAGTTTCACATGCACATCGCTTCAGGCAGGGTGTGGTGTTGCGGACCGCCATTTGATTCAACCAATCGTAAAGTCGTTTGCAGAACTCATAAACGCAGGGAACCACGGGTTCGAATGTGCATTCTCACCCATAATCCACTTGCCTTGGTCCCTGGTGCAGCGTGTATACCTCTAGCTACTCCATCTCATCTCGTTGTTTTTCCACTCGAACTTGCACATCACACTCAAACCTTGCCTCTGAGCCTTCTGCACCTTCACCGCTCCAGCTGCAGTTTCACGCATAGTTTCGGCGGTGGACCCGAGCGGTGCTCGTAGCGCGGCAGATTAAAGTACAGCAGCGACTTCACCGCTGTTCGGCTGTTCAGTTTATTCTTTGTACAGGTTAGTACTTTCTCGCCTTGAACCGTCAAGAACGTGATGAAATCAACATCCCTTGATGAACCCAATGCTGATGCACGGCGCTCATGCGCGTCGCGCCGTGCGGTTGATGCACGGCGCAGCCCCGTGAACACGCAGAGCGCATTCCAGGCCTTGCGCCGCGCGGATTCACGGCGCACAAGCGAAGCGCGCCGTGAGCTTGATGCTCGGAGCATCGCACTGCTTGCGCCGCGCTGATTCACGGCGCACAAGCGATGCGCGCCGTGAGCTTGATGCTCTGCGCATTGCACTGCTTGCGCCGTGCGGATTCACGGCGCACAAGCGATGCGCGCCGTGAGCTTGATGCTCGGCGCATCGCACTGCTTGCGCCGAGCGGATTCACGGCGCACAAGCGATGCGCGCCGTGAGCTTGATGCTCGGCGCATTGCACGGCTTGCACTGCGCGGATTCACGGCACACAAGCGATGCGCGCCATGAGCTTCATGCTCGGCGAATCGCACTGCTTGCGCCGAGCGGATTCACGGCGCACAAGCGATGCGCGCCGTGAGCTTGATGCTCGGCGCATTGCACGGCTTGCGCTGCGCGGATTCACGGCGCCCAAGCGATGCGCGCCGTGAGCTTGATGCTCGGCGCATCGCACTGCTTGCGCCGAGCGGATTCACGGCGCACAAGCGACGCGCGCCGTGAGCTTGATGCTCGGCGCATCGCACTGCTTGCGCCGAGCGGATTCACGGCGCACAAGCGATGCGCGCCTTGAGCTTGATGCTCGGCGCATTGCACGGCTTGCGCCGAGCGGATTCACGGCGCACAAGCGATGCGCGCCGTGAGCATGATGCTCGTCGCATGACCCTCATCACGCAGAGCGGATGCACGGCGCCTATGCGCTGCGCGTCGTGCACGTGATTCTTGGGGCACATCTCTCTACTTCCGTCACTTCTCACTGCCGCACATCATATCGTCCCTACACTTCATTCCTCCTCTCTGCCCCGCAATCTCTATCTCACTCTCCGTCCGTTTTTCCAACTCCGCACTCCTCATTCACGCCGTGCATGCGTTAGAGCACCAATTTTCCGCGCATCCCCTACTTTTAGCCGCGCGCATGCACTGAGTAAATGCCCGCCGAGCATCCGCCTGATTCAAAACCGGGTGAATGCATGGCGTTGATGAGCGCCGTGATGAGCATCCCTTGCTCAACGCATCCGCTCATTCTCCCGTCGTTCTGTCTCCCTGCCGCGCCTCTCTCTCCCGTCATTCTCTCTCCCTGCCATGTATCTCTCTCCCGTCATTCTCTCTCCCTGCCGTGACTTTCTCTCCCTGCCATGTCTCTCTCTCCCGTCATTCTCTCTCCCTGCCGTGACTCTCTCTCCCGTCATTCTCTCTCCCTGTCCTTACACTCTCTCCCGTCACTCTCTCTCTCCCAGCCGTTACTGTTTCCCCTTCTCTCTGCTGTAATTCTCTCTCCCTGCCTTACCTTCCATATCCCTGCCCCTGTTTTCTTCTCTCTCTGCCGCCTTTCCCTCTCCCCGCCATTCCTCTCATCTCTCTGCCTCTCTGCCGCCTTTCCCTCTCCCCGCCATTCCTCTCATCTCTCTGCCCCTCTGCCGCCTTTCCAGCTCCCTGCCATTCCTCTCATCTCTCTGCCCCTCTGCCGCCTTTCCCTCTCCCTACCATTCCCTCCCTCTCTTTCTTGTGTGAACACTTCAGGGCAATGGTGTACAGTTGTCCCGATTGTCCTGCCACGGGCTTCACAACACGAGGGAACGTAACCAACCATCGGAATGGCGGGCGCTGCCCCGGGAATACACGTCATGCGGCTGCGGCAAACAGTGGCAACCCTTTCCTCATGACACGGCACAATGCCGCATCTATGCCATCCCCCACCCTCTCTATCCCCTCTCCCACCCCCTCCATTCCCTCTCCCACTCTCTCCATGCCCACACCTCCACGTGCCGCGGTAGATCCGGAGCCTCTAGGAGGCAATGAGGGATCGAGTCATGACAACATGGTGCCCGACTCATTCCATCCAGCCCCCACTCCCTCAAACAGTGTTGAGTCAACACCGGATGTGTTGCTCGATGACGCCATCTCTGCCCATACGAATGGCGAGGCCAAGGACAGCACAAATGATGGTGATGAGAGTCCGCCGTTTGTATTTTTGGATGCATTTGTGCATTGGTTGCTCACTTGTGGTGTTTCTAAGAAGAAGGTTGATGAGTTGCTACAGATTTTTAACCACCACGATGCGTGTCTCGCTTAATTGCGCGAGCTCCGCAACATGAGAGACGTTGAGAAGTATGCGGACGAACACGCACCCGATGCGTATCGTAATTGGAAAAAGGCGAAGGTGCGTCTCGCGGATAAGCCTATGCTTGAGTATTTCTTTTGTGATGGCATTCAATGCATCAAGGATCTCTTGACTCACCCTAAGGTGGCTCCTAAACTTGTCTTGCATCCCACTTCCCGTGAGTCGGATGCAACACACGTGTATTCTACTCCCGAGACGGGTGATTGGTGGAAAGCTCTCCATGAGGAGATAAGAAAAGAGGACCCCAACGAGGTGGTGTGTGCGCTCATCTTGGCAAGTGATGAGACGCATTTGGCCCATCGGAGAAAAGCCAAGGGCCATCCGGTATATCTTACCTTGGCCAACATTGATAAAGATGATCGATGGAAACCATTTGGTCATGTTTTACTCGCTCTTTTATCCGAATATCCATCCGAATAAAACTCCGACGACAAGCTTTTTATTTTCCAACATGTCATGCGTACCGTGTTGGAGCCCTTAATAAAGGCTTCCCACCATGGTGTTCCTATTGTGGAAGAGTCCGGTGCCTCATACAATGCGTGGCCCGCCCTTTATGCATATGTTGCCGACTATCCCGAGACATGTAAGGTGTCGTGCACCAAACAAGGGTGGAACACAAGCCACCCTTGTTCCATTTGCACCGTTTACAAGGACAACATGAAGGATTTGATCGATCAACCAAAACCACGTCTGCCGGTAATGCAAAAGAGTATCGTTGCACTCTTTTCCACAACGAGCTCGCCATGCCCTCTGCGCTGGATGCTGAATTTGGACGACTGCCTCACCGGGTGCGAGCTGTCGCGAACTTCTATGGACGACCATGGTACTCCGACATTGCTATCAGAGGACCGTTGGTCGATGGTGTTCACGAGGAGTGGTATGCAAAAACTCTGATTGTTTTCCAGCTGAGAGACGGCGCAGAGCTGAAGCCATACGCATACGTTAAATATTATCGCAAGCTACCAGACAAAGACGCCGCCACTGGATGCGCGCAGCTGCGTTGGGACTTACAACACCAACGATACCAGGTGATTAGCGTTGGGACTGCGGGCTGTTGACCTGGTACAGCCGGTTGCGAACGACCAATTATGGTTTGTTAATAGGTTTATTCTTTAATATTCAAAGAATGCAGAATTGTTCATTGTCCCTAAAAGTGCTACAACAGTGTTTTTCTCGACTGTATACTTACAACTCCCCGTGAATAACGTCCTCGACAGCGAGTATCATGCCGCCCACCTGCATTGTGCGCTGGCATCGGCTGGTTGGGTTTCCGTCGCTAACTGAAGAAAACGTGCGCTGGCAGCGGCGCGCTGGGATGCGCTTGGCAAGGCATCATGTACAGTTATGCGCCACCCACACTTGTGCGAGTTTTTCTGTGACCCTGCCCATGAGAGTATAATTGCGAGAGCTCGTCGAAACAGTGCTGCGTGCATACATTGTGTCGTGTATACTGTTACCACTGAGTTGTAAGATAATATCAACTGCCCGCGAGGTGCCCAACATTGATATGGGCATTTCCAGCTCGGCTATCGCACACATTTCACGATTGTGCGACAGAGCTCATCCTCGCACACTGAGACACATGACCGGATTCAAGCTCCTCAAGCGGATTTTCGCTGCCATGACGGACGACGATGACCAGGGGGTCACACTGCATCGTGATGGGCCTGCCGAGGATAGTGACAGCGATGACGAGGTGAACCTGGACGAAATGCTCGGGTACATGCAGCATCTGAAACAGCAAGGGGTGAAGCTCGGCAAGAAGAAGAAGAAGAAGGGGGCTCGTGCGCAGGGTGACGACACTGCTGGACCTTCTATCTCACCTGTCAATGAAGTCGCCCCTGCTACCGCGGCGCAACCTACGCCTGCTACTATGACCGCCGTAGCACCTACCGTCGTAATCGCTCCTGCCGCTCCAACCGTTCCCGCGCCGATCACAGCAGGTGCCGGTACTGCTGGCGTTGCAACGAGTGCCGTTGCGACACCTTCTGGCCCCGCGAGTACGGAAGCCTCTGCCGTGACCAACCATGTGGCCGTCTGGGTTCCAACGGTTGCACTCGCAGTGGAAGAGACTACTGCAAACGCTGACGCGTCCGCCGTCACCGCCTCAGCTGCTGATAACGCAACACGCGGAACGACTGCTGGCCGAGTGGTTGGCTCACCGTTTGGATTTGCCATCCCAGTGAACCCACGCACCAGTACGAGTTAATCAAGTTCGCTTCTTGTGTATCGATCGCGGCTCTCTCACGGCGTGCATTGTGTTTGCGTTTGCCGTTACTTTATTTGTTACTGACATTTGTTTCCTGCTTGTTTTCGTTCCCTTTGGCAGATGTGCCGGCCGAGCAAGCAGTAGCACAAGAGACATTCCGTCTGCAGGGACAGCTCGACGACCTTCGAACAACGCTGAGGCGCACGCAGGAGAGAGAGAGAGAGAGAGTTGTCGAACCTCCTCGCGGAGCGGGACGCCGAGCTTGCTGCGCTCAACCAGCGCTGCGCTGAGGCTATCCGGTTGAACGAGCAGCTCCTGCAGGACCTGTCCGCCGCCCAGGGTACGGCTCTCATCGGTACCCCGCGTCCGGCCACGCCGTCGTTCAATTTGGACCGGATCCCGCGCGACGCCAACGGAGCACTCATTATCCCTGCCGTCGTCAGTCATGACAATCATTTCGGGGTAAGTCTCTCATCTCAGTATTCGCTTATTTCGCGAGTTGCATTTCTTTGTGCTTAATGCGTATCTCCATCTTCTAACGTTTGTCTCGTTTACACTCCCGTTTATATGCAGAGAAAGGCAACTGAGGCGATCACGTACCTTATGTTGGATGCGCCAGCTCGGTCTATGCAGTTTTACCCCGAGTGGGCAGAGTTCCGCGAAGTTGTCTGCATGAAGTACGAGGCCACGGGCGTTTCATCCGACGTTTTCTACTACATCATCAGCAACGACCCCAGCAAAGAGGCGCTGGCGATGCGGAAGGTGTCGGAGAAGCGTTCGAACGTCAACTCTGACGCGAAGCTCTACGGCAGAGGCCCTGGGGGGTGCGTTCCAGAGTCTAAGTGGAAAATTCTGGCGGAGGAGAATGTTGCGCCGTCCACCTCGCGTACCCCTGCGGAGTGGTGCCGTTTTTTTGAACACCGTGAGTTACACGTTGCCCCGTTTTGCTGCGGCTATGTGTTCCATTGGTATAATTGTAGCTGGTTGCTCACTCTCTTTTCCTCTATTCTGACAGCTGTCTATGGGCCTGGAGCAAATTTGCATTTTTACCCGGCAACCCATCGCCCGTATGCAAACCTCTCTTTCCAGCTCGCTCTCCTTCGTGGGCTTGCCAGCAAGCGTGCAACCACGCTGTTTGTGAAGATCCCCACTGTTGGCTACGTGTGCAACGTGGTGAGTGCCTGGTGTTTCTATTATGTTGTATTTGTTTGTTCCAAAAAAAACCATCACTAAACCTACGCTACCTCTTGGATCTGTAGGTGGAGTGGCCCCTGGTGAATGCAAGGGGGCGCCAGACCCCGGCACTTGACACTGCCGAGGCAGTGAACCGCCAGAATGTGGCGCAGAAGATTGACCAGGTTGTTGCCTGGATCGCGGCAACCTACAACGCCGCGGATGTGACTATCTGGGACTCCAGGCCCCCGGCTGGCTTCAACATGGGCCCCAGGATCAAGATCCTGGTGGAGGGCTATGAGTCGGTGATCTTCGCTAATGGAACCCCGCCTTAGGAGTCCTAGTTAGGTGTAGTTACAGTAGTATAACCCTGATGTAGCTGGTGCTACTGTACTCCGGTGCAATAGGTAGGTGTAGCTTCTGCTAATTGGAATTGTAATCTTGTAACTGGTGCTGTTAGTAATGAGGTTATGGTTTTATCGTAATTTTAACAGCTGCTAAAATGTTTTAACAACATTATGCTTTAATTTAAAGGGGTATTTTGATTGGCAACAACAACAATAAATTAACATCATATGCGAGACTACAGTAGTTATCTTGTTTATTTGCGGCTCGATAATATGCGACTCGTTATTACAGCAAAAGGAGCTGTAACCAGGTTGGTAACAGTGCTATTGTAACTTCAATTCAAGCACTCGAAAATCGATCGCGAATTCCAGTAACAGAGCAACAAATCGAAATGTAACCGCAGGCACTATGCCACATCAGCCTCGTAAATGCTCGGGTCAGGTCATCGCCGAGCTGGATGACAAATGGCCATCCGCAGGATGCCCTGTGTATCGAGCACACACAGCCGCACATTGTACCCCCCGTGTGTTGCAAACCAGCTCGGTCTTTCGATGACTGGGCATTAACAGCCCTCACTGTTCAGACTGAATCCAATTATACGAAACCCATCTCGAGGGTGGTCGATCGTGGGTGCCAATCGGCCTAAGGACGCGTTCCCTGAAGCGGATCGATCCACTGGAAGATCGGTATTGCGCGCTGAGTGTAGCACTGTAGCTTCGTAATCAACATCGTAACCAGTGTTCGCGCATGTTTGCGAGTGTACAGTACATTTGTGGCTACAAACCTGTCACCTACGAGATCCCCGATCGATTTAGAGTAGAACCCATATCGACCGTGAGATTGCAGGGCGCGGTGTGAGACATCGAGCCAAGGGTGACAAGCACGATGGATCGCCGTCGACCCTCGTCGCATAGTCACTGCACGAACTCGCACGCAATGGGTTACATTTTTCGAGTAGATTCGGCACCCTTTCGTGGATTGCGTGCGACCCCAGAACGTAGTCGCACGTTAGGTGTACCAAACCCCTAACCTCCTTTTCCGAACCTGTCACCTGTATATCGGTGTGGCAGCTGCGATTGTGTTTTTTGCAGACCTGGGTACCAATCGCTACCGAGCCTAGGCTCAAAATGAAGTTTGGTGCGGGTCGGCCGATCCTTGGCCGATCCGCTTCAGGGGACGCGTCCTAACCCATCACACGTAAATGGTCTGTTCGAAATCTCGCCAGAACCCAACCCCGACTACCTTAAGTCTTCCAAAACACCCCCAACCAGGCGACAGAACTTTCTGATGCTTAAGACCCCTCATTGCAATGTCGCTCGCATTCCGCCTGCTTCCACGGCGCAGCGGTGCGACTAACGATCGCAAATGCGGCGGGTGCGGTAATTTCAGCGCGGGGAGGGACAGCGGTGGGACTACGGTAGCACGCAAAAACAGTGGCACGACTGCACGAAAACAGCTTAGTGTTCACGCTCCTCGCCTTGGTGAGTCGTTCAAGCTCGAAATGACTACGTGGCACTTTACCCTAATGGTAGGAGGTTCATGGTCGAATGCGGCCGTGACGATCGAGATAATGCGAACAACATCAATCCCGACATTGTAAAGAATAATCATACCGTTTGATCCATGCGAATTCAACTCGAATATCCGAGCATACCACGCGCGACACGACTCGGAAAGATACCGACTCCATGTGTGCTTTCAATCTTTCCCTAATGGAAGCAACGGGATGGTGGGGAACACTTGTGTAGTGGAACAGTCCTGAGGGCCTATCTAGCACTACGATCAGCGAACTTGGCTCGAACTGAAACACAAACCAGTTGCGACACAACGCACACGGCTCGTTGGTGTCGGTTTGATTTGAGAAGTTGAAGGACTTCGGTTTGGTGTAGATTCTGAATACTGTATCAGGAGGAGAGATGAACTTATCAAATTTGATGTGTAACATCATATTACCAAGAATTAGAAGAAAACCAGCCTGGAGTGAACACACCTTCAACAGAGAGGAAATGTCCAACGGTAATGACGGGACCAACTAAGATGCGTTCAAGTGACTATGAGATGGATGTGACAGCCTAAGAAACGTCGCAATTCAACAATTTAGGAAGCGTCGCGGGTCGGTGTATACAATCCACTTCATGTGGCGATTAGCACTGACGACTACACGCCAGTCACGCAAGGATATGATGCCGATTCTAACCCCTGGTCCTTCGCGCACCGCTGCATCGTCGTGTCTGCAGTGCGCCGGTCGAGAGCTTTTGACGGAAGCACCGACATAGCACCGACGTCATGACACTTCGAAATTCATCCGCGCCAGCGCTCGTGTGCGGCCATTCTATTTCACCCTACCTCACCTTGGTTGAACGATGATAATCCCTTGTTTTTACGTCTCAGTCACGCTTTATCCACGCCCACGCCACGCCAAATCCACTTACTTGCCACGCCCCCATCACGCCTTAGTCACAATACTTGTTCTCACGCCTAATCGCGCTCTCGTCGCGCCTAATCCCTTCCCTTGTTGTCACGCCCAGGCCACGACTCGTCCCGACGAAATGATCTGCATGACAGGGAAAAGTACAAGGAGCCAGTACACATATAAAAGTAGCTACCAAGCCTCCTATAGCAACACATGGCCTATGAGGCTTTGTAGCCGGCTGCTACCTCATCTCCCTTGCACCTCTGCCGGCTCCTCTCTCCTCCGCCATTTTTTCTTCTAACCTTCCCAGCTCGCCCCGCCTAGCTGGTGAGCTCGCCCACCTTCCTTCCAATCCAATCTCTTCGTCAGTTCAGATAAGGCCTGTCGGAGTTCGCGCCTTTCCTTTTCGCCTATTTTGGCCATGCCTTGACTCCAACTCTTGCTTTCCTTACCATCCCCCTGCTACCCTCTTCTCTTGCACCATGCTTGTTTGACATTTGTTCCTCTATTGATTCCTAAGGTTATTCCTTCCAATGTTGATGCCCATCTCCATGCGCTTCCCTTTTGTGTCGTTTGCTTCCATCGTTGCCCTCCTGTTTCTCAAGTCCCAGAACACCCTTGTTTCGCTTTAATCGCTTTGGAAATTGGCAGGAACTTACTGTGAGCTCAACTACTGAAGCGAGGTGTTCATTTCCTGGGCCTGCTTCTGAACCAGGATGGCCAAAGCGGTGGTAATGGTGGCGTGGCTGCTTCTAGCCCTAGCTGTCGCCTCCCTGGTCAGATTTATCGGTATGCCACACACGAATGGTGTCACTTACAGCACGACGAGCTTAGAGCCGGTAAGCCAGGCGATTTGAAGAAGTGCTCATAACCTTGCAAGCAAGCAGACAGCATGCGCGCCTTTCACATGCTAGGTGACAGTTGTGATAAACGTTGCATACACCTGTGCCCCTTATGTTCCCTGTTGCAGCTTCCGTGTGTCACTAGGGGATGCGTCCAAGAGACTCACCAACTTGCCATTCCGCCTGCAATCGTTCATGTAAGCACAACTCACAGTGCTTTCTGCCACTCCCCCACCCCTCCCTCTTCCTCATGCCGGGCCAGGTCATGCCAGTTCTCCTTTTCCCTTGTTCCTCTGCTACCCGTCCTCACCCTCCCCTGTTCGTTGCTGGCTTTTCTTGCTTCTTATTGGATGAATTTGGCCTTGCATCCACGAGGTGCTGCTATGTTATGCTACGAATCGGTTTTTCAAGAAGAAAGCAGCTCAGTTTATTTATTGTCTCATGCCTGAATGATGTGTGTCACATCATGCATGTATGCATGTGTTTCGTGTTCTGACGTTTTTGCCTCCTTGTAATTCGTGTTCTGCTGTTATTGCCTCCATACGTTTAGTGTTCTGCCGTGCGTGTATGCATGTGTTATGCGTTTTGCTGTGATTGCTTGAATGTGTTTTGTGTTCTGCCGTGCTTGTGTGCATGTGTTTCGTGTTTTGCCGTGCGTGTATGCGTGTGTTTCGTGTTATGCCATGCTTGGGTGCATGTGTTTCGTGTGTTGCTATGCATTTGTTTCGTGTTCTGCCGTGCTTGTGTGCACGTGTTCCGTGTTTTGCCATGTTGCATGCATGTGTTCCGTGTTGCTTGTGTGCTTGTGTTTTGTGTTTTGCGGTGCATGTATGCATGTGTTCCGTGTTCTGCCGTGCTTGTGTGCATGTGTTTCGTGTTCTGCCATGCATGCATGCATGTGTTCCGTTTTGCTTGTGTGCTTGAGTTTTGTGTTTTTCCGTGCATGTATGCATATGTTCCGTGTCCTGCCGTGATTGTGTGCATGTGTTCCGTGTTCTGCCGTGCATGCATGCTGCATGCATGTGTTCCGTGTTGCTTGTGTGCTTGTGTTTTGTGTGTTTGCCGTGCATGTATGCATGTGTTCCGTGTTCTGCCGTGCTTGTGTGCATGTGTTCCGTGTTCTGCCGTGCATGCATGCATGTGTTCCGTGTTTTGCCATGCATGTATGCATGTGTTCCGTGTTCTGCCGTGCTTGTGTGCATGTGTTCCGTGTTCTGCCGTGCATGCGTGCATGTGTTCCGTGTTGCTTGTGTGCTTGTGTTTTGTGTTTTGCGGTGCATATATGCATGCGTTCCGTGTTCTGCCGTGCTTGTGTGCATGTGTTCCGTGTTTTGCCGTAATGCATGCATGTGTTCCGTGTTGCTTGTGTGCTTGTGTTTTGTGTTTTGCCGTGCATGTATGCATGTGTTCCGTGTTCTGCTGTGCTTGTGTGCATGTGTTCCGTGTTCTGCCGTGTATGCATGCATGTGTTCCGCGTTGCTTGTCTGCTTGTGTTTTGTGTTTTGCGGTGCATGTATGCATGTGTTCCGTGTTCTGCCGTGCTTGTGTGCATGTGTTCCGTGTTCTGCCGTGCATGCATGCATGTGTTCCGTGTTTTGCCGTGCATGTATGTATGCATGTGTTCCGTGTTCTGGCGTGCTTGTGTGCATGTGTTCCATGTTTTGCCATGCATGCATGCATGTGCCTTTCGTGTATGCATGTGTTGCTCATTCTGCCGTGCATGCATTCATGTGTTGTTGTGTGTTCTGCCGTGCATGAATGTTTGTGTTGTGCACTCTGCTGTGCATGCGTGCATGCATGTGTTGTGTGTCCTCTCAGTCCAACTCCACAGCCACGTCTAACAACGTCACCTGCCTGCCTCGGCTTCTGGCTCCCGGAACCGCCTCCCACTCACAGCATGGCCACTTGCTCTCCACATCCTTCGACCTCCTTCGTACTCTGGTGAACCTAAAAAGCAGCCATTGCTTCACCTTTGAAGACATTGAAGGTTTCTTTCTTTAATTATTTGTTGACAACCGCCCCCAGCCCAAGCACTGAACTCGTATTTTGTCTCGAGCTGATTCCCTGCAGGCCTTTGCATGGACTTCTCTGGTGACACTGCTGTGGATGATGGGTGTTTCTTATCTGCAAGTCAAAGCGTGGTTTTGTGAGAAGAACACTGTTGCGACGGCCGAGCTATGGGCGATGAGTAGCTCAACGGTATGTCAGAATATTTGTGTGCTCTGCTAGTTTTTCTCGGTTTGCACCTCCTTCCCGCACCTCCTTAAGGCTTCTCTTCGTCCCCCAAGCCTTTATTTCCTGTTTTTCTTTCCCTTCTGTTGTCCTTATCTTTGCTCCACTAATTTCACATCTCGTCCTCCTCTCTGTCCTCCCCTCTCTTCCATCACCATGCCTCAGGCTCATGGAATTCTCCATATTGTCCACAAGCCAATGTGAGAATCCTGTGTTGATTTCTTTCAGTCGTTGCCTCCTCCTCGCCATGCTGTTCATGCTTACTAGTGAGGTTCAAGTTCTTGGGTAATCATTCATTCCATGTCCTATATGGCTACTGATACCTGACTCACATCCACATCCCTGCAGCACACATACTCTGTCTTGTTTTATGGCGTGCTAGTTTTGCTTCAAAAAAAGAGAAAAAACATTACCTTCTCTTTTTAACATGTTACTTATCATGTTCTTAATAGTTCATGTCCAACCCTTCATCACGACCTTATTTGTTAATGCATATTTTCTCCGAGAGTTTGTCGTTCCTCAGGCATGTCCAATCTATGTTTGTCGTTTCTCTCAATGTTATCTGTAGTTTTATATCTTTGCTGCTCGATTCTTGAGTGCTTGTCCGTTATGTTGAGCAGGTGTTGCTTCCAAGGTATGTACGAGGCTGTTGAAGTATCTTTGGGGCAATTATTGGGAGTGCATGAGTTGAAAGAGGCGATGGAGATGAGAATGAGGGCACTTGGCGTGCAGCTAGAAGAGACAAGGAGGGAGATGAGAGGGCAAGTGGAGGAGAGGGAGAGAGAGCTGGCAGCAGTGAAGGAAGAGCTGGCTGCGCACAAGGATGCACTGGATAATCAACTTTCAGTGGAGTTGGCAAGGGAGAAGGAGGAGAGGAGGAGGGAGGTGCAGAACTGGCCATGTGGCATGGAGGAATTGGCAGCTTCCAAGGGCTGGCTAAATGTTGAGGTGGAAATCAACCAGAGTGAAGGTCATCGGAAGACTGCATGGGAGGTGAGTGTTGAGGACTTGCTTCACAGGATATGCATGATTAGCGGGGCATGGCTTTTCCTAGTGTCATGACAATTATTCCTTTTTTTTTTTTACATTTTGCCATCATCCATCACCTCCAGCGAATCAAGTATAATTCTGGAGGCTATCTAGACCTGAGCCGTCTCCACGGCCTCTCAGATGCCATGCTCGCTTATGTGTCTACAATGACACAGCTGACATGGATGAGCTTGGAGTCTTGCTCGGGCTTCAGTGCAGAGGGCATCAAGCACCTCTACAGGCTGCCACGCCTGGAGACGCTGTACCTCAACTGCACAGACGTCTCAGACAGTGCCTTAGAAGGCATTGGGTCCTCGGCTAGTATTAAGCTCCTCCATCTCTGGAGGACAAAGGTGACTGATGCTGGGCTGGCGCACTTGACAGCTCTGTTTCCTCTCAAAGACTTGAATGCTACCGAATGTAGGGGTGTGACAAATGCTGGCATGGTGCATGTGGGGAGGCTGACAGGTCTTGAGAGACTTGCTTTAACTAGCACGGCAGTCACAGATGATGGGCTGCAGCACCTGACTGCCTTGACCAAGCTGACAACTCTCTGGCGGCCAAATGGAAATTGTATTCAGGGCGAGGATGTCCGCAGGCTGATAGAGAGGTAGGGTGGCAGAGGGATGTGGTGTGGAGGGTAGGGAGGGAGACGAGGTGAAGGCTGTCCCTGTGTAAAGCCTTATGTAGCATGTGAACAGGTCCCTTGTGGTCGATTTCAAACAGCTTTCAGGGATAGTTTAGGCAGTCTTCCCTGCCACAGGAATCACGAATGACTTTGCTGTCTAATGACCAAAACAAATGAATTATTTGCATAATATTTGTAACAACACAAGTGCCAAATAACAGTAGTATGGGATATATACACATGTCAGGCCATGAAGTGGGTGTGTAATGGTTTGCTAGAGGGTGCTGCGTTGGCTTGGATTTGTGGCAAGGCATTCTCCTAGTGACAGTCACTCCTATTCATGCCCTTCAGCGCTGCGTTCACCACCTCCTGCAGCAGCTGGTTCGATGGGAGTAGGCAGCAACACAGGTACAGGAAATAACTTCAGAGGTACAGGCAACACAGGTGGCACACCATTGCCGCATTCACTGTAAGTAGTTCAACACCCTATTTCCCTGGTTCCTTCTATTTCGTCGCCTATCCGCGGCTGTGATGAGGCTTCTGGTGCTAGTTTCCTGCTGAACGAATAAATGTACTCCTTTTCTGTGCAGTGCCATCATCTTTCATCCACTCTCCCCTTCTCTCTCAGTGCAACGCCCCGACCTCCTTCCCTCTCTCCTTCCCACACTCCTGTCCTGCTCCCACTCCAACAGTAGTACAGTACCTGCCCTGTACTCACCCTCAGGAGCCGTCATTGCTGCGACACACAACCTGGCAGCATGGCAAGCCACGGGCCATGGCAGCAGCAGTGGTGACATCTGTTAGAGGGAAGTGGGCGGAGGAAGGCGAAGTTAAAGGTGTGGGAGGGAAGAGCGAGGGAGCAGAAGACTGGATGTGACCTTGTTGTGACAACGTAGGGTTAGTTGAGTGGTGCTCATTGCACGCTGGTCATCCGGTGCTTCCAGGCTTCATGTGAGGAATGAATGAGTGCATGAATGCGGCATTTCACATGCTATGACTGAAGGTGTGTTTGAGCATATCTGTGTTGCCCCACCCACCCATAGTTTAATAGCGACAAAGGCCATTGAGATCGATGAGGAAATTCGGTTGAGGTAGGATCATCATTTTACTAACTCTCATTTTGTTACCGCAAGCAAAGTTGTCACATGATGTGAATGTGCGATTGGCTCCAATATTTCTTTCATTGCCGAAATTGGACTAGGGCCAAACTTCCAATGGGTCTCCTACGCATCCCTGGCCTTATCCATCCATCCCTACGTGTTGCACTACCCAGTCAGAAGGGTACCTTATGGCACAAGATTGTGATTGGAGCGTCTTTCAGTCTTATAACTTCACATCCAGCGGCACTCCTGCACTGCAGTGCCACGTGTCTCCATCACCACCATCTGCCCACTTGAATTGCTTTGCTGCAGAAACGCCACAACCTCCCAACCCCCTTCTGCACGCACTCCCCTGTCCCCCCTCTCCCTGTCACAACACCCATTCATCCCCATCTGAGTGAATAGATTGCTTTTCTTACATCCAGCACCTCGTCTTCCGATACACCACCTCCATTTTTTCCCGAACTCCATTCTTTTCCCCCCTCCCTACCCTTCCCTGCTCCCCCTCTCCATCGCTCCCTCCCTCCCTCTCCCTGCCCCTTTTCAGCTCTCTTCTTCCTTGACCCAACAGCTTGCTTCACGATCTCGACATCTTCTGTACTATTTACAGGTAGGCAGGCAGAAGCATGGGTTGAATCTGGCCTTGTTTGTGTGAAACTGGCCCGCGTCAGAAATGACCGAGCTGGACCAAATATGAACCGGCCTGATCCGGCCCTCTTTAGGACCCAGTTGTTGGTCCAGTTGGAGTTTGTCCACAACCTCATTCTTGGAAACTAGACCACCATAATGGTGATTGATAGAGCAGGAGAAGAGGTGCAGGGCGAAAGCGAATGGTCCGATTTCCTTTTTCAAAATGGACCCTCGCTCAGGATGTGAGGATCCCAGGGATTTATTTTGTGGAAAGCTGAGTGGCCCGAATGCTGGTGTAATCTGGTTCGGTTCAACCCAGCCATCTTATTCCACACAGCATATGCCAGCTTGTTTGGCCCGAGCCATACCATTAGGCAAAAGAAGGCCCCGGATCGGTCAGTGATGAAATGATTCGTTCCGGACTGAGGCGAGGTTCAGCAAAGCGCCTACGTAGAAGAGCATGCACAGTCCTTCAAACCAAGGCACATGCAGCTGAGGCATTTGCCAGCCTAGTGAGTGGGGAGAACGCGAGGGTGAATCAGCAAAGGAGCTGACCACCCTCCTGAGTGGTCATAGCAGGTGTCACATAAATCCATTCTCTTTATTATCCCCTTCCCCATTATCCTCCCCTCTCATCAAACCTCTCTACATCCTTCTCATCCCTTCCCTTCCCATCCCGTATCTCTTCTACCAACCATTTCCACGATTGTCATTCGTCTCTACCTTCCCCATCAGCAAGTTCTGCACTCACCCCACTTCAACCCGTCACTTCAGCTCATCGACTCTTTCAGTGCAAGCACCTTCCTCTCTTTTCACTCCGAGTGTCCCTCCCCATCGCAGGTCCTTCTCTGCCCGCCATCACCCTCCCAACTTCTCCCCCACTCACCCAACCAAGCAGCAGCATCACAGTCATTTTACCTTCACAGAAACCCCCCTTTCCCCCATCAGCTACACCAGGATAATATTTTCTCCTTTAAGCCCCCCCTTCCATGCCCCACACGCCCTCCTATGCTGCTCATACATGTCCCGCGGTCTCTCTTCCTCTCCGCCACCCAGCCTCTTTCCCCCCATCTTCCCCTATTCCTCCATAGGGACTCCATAGGAACAGAACACCACCTTCCCTGTCCTGCCCCCACAACACCACCTTCCCTTCACATATGTGAAAACTTACGTATTCACACCTCATCCACATCTCATCGCTCACCTCATCTCATCCCACACTCATCACATGCCTCATGTCACATCTCAAACCATACCTTATCCCGTTTCTTATCCCACACCTCATCACACAACTTATCCCACACTTCATCAATCACCACATCTCATACCTCGACATGTATTCACATCCCACTGCAGGGTCATTTCTGAATCACCTTCGCTCCCCTCAGTCTCTCTGCCCTTTCAAGCGTGCCCACTGATTCCTGTCCCTCACTCAGTCGCGGAAGAATCCTCTTCAGCTCAGAGTGGGGTTGGGTGCCACACAGCAGCAGAAGCTGAGTCATAGTAACGAGCCATGGAGGGTGCATTGAGTGGGGATGCAGTAAGGAAGTGTAGTTGTGACGGGAATTGGGATTCCGTTGCTGTCCAGTATTCTACTACTAGCCAGTCATGCATTCTGAAGGAGATCAATGCATGGTTATTGCTCCTGCATGCCAGTGAACGGGCCATGTGGGCAGGTGCTGCAGCAGAATGTGTGCCCTCAACCTGTAGCAATGCAGAACTATGCCCACTTTTGCTTCCCAATTGCCATCTGTTTTATGGATCATGCTCTGCCAACCAGCTTAGCCACCACAAACTAACATAGCAAGCTACTGCACGTGCCTGATACAAAACAACAGTGGCAAAATCATTGACCATATGTGATACAATACGATACCAATTTCAAAGTTTGCAGCACTCTAAAGTGGACAACAGATTCAAGTTGGGCATGTTCTGTCCTGCACCCAGTGTCAGAAAGGAGGCCAAATGAAGCTCAACCGCTTGCAACTGTTTTACCGGTATGTCACCTACACAGTTGTACACATCATTGCAGTGTGAGGTCAAAGCACAAGATTACCATCCTTAGCTTACCCCAAGCTGTGCACAGGCAACACCCATCACTCAGCCACCAACTTGCACACACCTCCACTCTATCCACACTCACTGCATACAAGCATCTCTTCCTCAGTAACGGTGTTGCTTAATCCCCCATTCCCCCATCATTACACTTGCCACCCATCCCACCTATCTGTGACCACAGGTACTCATCTATCTGCGAGCACACATACTCATTGCACACCCAGTTTCCTTACAGCAGCAAAAGCAATGGACATGGCATGAGGTTTGCCATTCAAGCTCCACCATTCACGTTTTACATGGCATGAGGTTCTCCACTGCTGCCGCCACTGCTACCACCACTGCTGCCGCCACTGCTACCACCACTGCTGCCGCCACTGCTACCACCACTGCTGCCGCCACTGCTACCACCACTGCTGCCGCCACTGCTACCACCACTGCTGCCGCCACTGCTACCACCACTGCTGCCACCACTGCTACCACCACTGCTGCGACCACTGCTACCACCACTGCTGCCGCCACTGCTACCACCACTGCTGCCGCCACTGCTACCACCACTGCTGCCGCCACTGCTACCACCACTGCTGCCGCCACTGCTACCACCACTACTGCTGCCACTGCTACTGCCGCCCACCAGGCTTGCCTCCCTCACTACTCTCTTGCTCGCCCTTGTCCCCAGCGTCCCCGCCTCCCTTCCCTTCCCCTCTTGCTCCACCTCCCCTCCCCCCTCCCCTTCCCCTTTCCGTCCACCCTGCTTCTAACCAATACCTTCCATTATAAACCATGCCAAGCAGGCAATTCCTATGCAGCTCCCCCCACGCACACAGTGACCTCTTGCCCAACCAGCCCTGCACTTGCTTCTGCCCAACAGCAGGGCGCAACCATTCCCGAACTCTCTGCAGCATGCAAGTTGAACCACCATTCCATGCATGCCTCACCTCCTCAGTCGTCCCTATCAAGACACAGTCACGTCCTCCCTCACCTCAAGTCTCTCTCCATCATCACCCCCTACCACCCTATCCGCCTATCCGCCTGCGCACGTCATCATTCTTAAGGTAGCCCCTTTTTGGCGTATAGAGACTTTTCAGCTTGGTCAGGGCAGTCAGCTGCTGCAACCCATTATCCGTGACTGCCGTTCCATTCAGCCAAAGCTCCTCAAGCCCTGTCAGCCTCCCCACATGCACCATGCCAGCATCTGTCACACCCTTGCAGGTGGAAAGGATTAGCACTCCGAGAGAAGAGAGACCCGTCAGCTGCTGCAGCCCATCATCTCTAAGTGCCGTCTTATGTAGCCAAAGTTTCTCAAGGGCTGTCAGCCTTCCCACCTCCATCATGCCGGCACTTGTCACACCTTGATTACTGCCAAGGTCCAGCACATCGAGTGAGGAGAGACCCGTCAATTGGCGCAGACCAGCATCCGTAACTGTCGTCTCATCCAGCTTAAGCTCTAGAAGGCTTGTCAGCCTTCCCACATGAATCAGGCCAGCACTTGTCACACCCTTACATCCGGAAAGGTAAAGGAATTTGAGAGTGGATAGAGCTGTAAGTCGCTGCAGCCCTGCATCTGTAACTGCCGTCCCACTCAGCCAAAGTGTTTCCAGCCCAATCAGCCTTCCCACGTCTTTCATGCCAGCACTTGTCACACCCTCGCATTCGACAAGGCTCAGCAGTTTCAGAGAGGACGGACCCGTGAGATGCTGCAGACCAGTGTCTGAGACTGCCAATCCATCCAGCACAAGTTGCTCAAGCCGTAGCAGCTTTCCCACCTCCACCATGCCCGCATCAGTCACTCCTTTGCAATTGGAAAGGCCCAGCTCTTTGAGAGAGGAGAGGTCAGTCAAGTGCAGCAGGCCAGCATCGGTAACATTGGTGTCCCAAAGAAAGAGCGCCTCGAGACTGGCCAAGGACCCAATACCTTCCAAGGCATTGTCTGCGACGCCAGTGCCTTGGAGTTGTAGGAACTCCAGCAGTGGCAGCCTATAGAGGTCCTTGATGCCCTCTGCATTGAATCCTGACCTAGAGTTCAAGGCAATGCTCGTCAAGTGGGTCATGGTGGATACATGCCTGAGGATGTCGGCTGAAAGGCCACGGAGATTCGCCAGATCCAGATTAGGATTCTACGATGCTGCCTTGATTGCCTGAGGGGAACGGGTAGAGAGTGAAAACGAAAACATCACAAGGGAATGGATGAACACAGTAACAAGAAAGAACTAGCAAGCAATGCACACCCTGTGAAGCAATTTACTCAGCGCTCACCTCCCGTGCAGCCTTCCGATTGCCTTTACTCCGCCTAATTTGCTCCTCAACATTCAACTTCAGATTTTTTGTCTTCCGCCCCTTTTTACAGGCTGCCGATTCCTCCATGGCACGTGGCCGATCCATCTCCTGCACCTCCCTCCTCCTCTCCTCCTCCCGTGCAAACTCATCTGTCCCTTCTTGCTTTCTCTTTCTACTCTTCCCTTTCAACCCCTTCACACCCGATGCACTCTCAGCCAATTTTTCTGCCATTGCGACTTTGTGTTCCGCCAACTCTCCCTTCACCGCTCCCAGCTCTCCTTTCACTGATGCCAACTCCCCCTTCACAAATGCCAACTCCCCGTTCACTGCTTCCAGTCGTCTCTCCCTCTCCTCCATCACAGCAGCAGTCGCCTTGTTCTCCTCCTTCAAAACAGTCAACATCTGCCGCAGCTCATCCACATCCTCCTTGTGTGCAACCGACCCCTCTCTCAATGCTTTCAACACCGCCTTTTTTACCTCTTCAATCCGTGGCCGCGTCGCTCTCTTAGGAGCCATTCTATCCACTGACTACCCCGAAACGACCCTCGTTTATTGACTGCAAAGTGCGAAAGCAGACAAGCCGGGGTGAGGCGGGGTTGAGAGGGAAGAAGGAGAAGCGGCATGGTCAGTGCACACACGAACAATACCAATTCCACAGGCATGAGGCACGAGGCAGTGGTGTGAGTAAGAGAGGAGACAAGGAGCAGCCGAAGAGGAAGACTTGATGACAAGATGTGAGAGACGTATGGATGCAGCACATGGCTGGAAAGCAGTGAGAGAAGAGGCTTGTTCACCCCAATACACTCATGTAATTGGCATGAAGGCAGGTGGCAGTAGAACGCACCAAGGGATGCCAAGAGGAGAAAGCGGAACCACTTTTTTCTCTTATAGCTCCTCGCAGGCTAGGTCAGTCAGTCACAGGCTAGGTCAGTCAGTCGCAGGCTAGGTCAGTCAGTCGCAGGCTAGGTCAGTCAGTCGCAGGCTAGGTCAGTCAGTCGCAGGCTAGGTCAGCCAGTCGCAGGCTAGGTCAGCCAGTCGCAGGCTAGGTCAGTCAGTCGCAGGCTAGGTCAGTCAGTCGCAGGCTAGGTCAGTCAGTTGCAGGCTAGGTCAGTCAGTCGCAGGCTAGGTCAGTCAGTCGCAGGCTAGGTCAGTCAGTCGCAGGCTAGGCCAGTCAGTCGCAGGCTAGGTCAGTCAGTCGCAGGCTAGGTCAGTCAGTCGCAGGCTAGGTCAGTCAGTCGCAGGCTAGGTCAGTCAGTCGCAGGCTAGGTCAGTCAGTCGCAGGCTAGGTCAGTCAGTCGCAGGCTAGGTCAGGCAAACCCTAGATCAGTGAGAGCCTAGGTATGTGATAGCATGGTGAATGAGCTAATGAGCGGCAACATGCAGAAGGGTCCAGGCTAGCAATGCATCGAGGGGCAACAAGGCAAGCAATGCAGCAGTGCATTGGCGTTATGGTGGAACCCCAAGGGAACTCGTTATGAAAAAAAGTTACGAATTGCCGTCTGATACATGTGCGAGCACTATGGTTCTTTCTTACGCTGGGAACTCGCAACGTGGAAGGCTGAGATTGAGGGGGGAGACAATAGGGATGCTCATGTACTCACTGAAGAGTCCAAATGCTTACCCTAACTCAGGTTTTTATAACTGGCGTGTTCTTGCGGCGGCGTGCAGAGTGACTCAGCGCGGCAGCGAGGAATCAGTCGATCTGCAGTGCGTGGAGCGTGATGGCTGACGATTGGCGATTCTGAAAGCGGAGAGAGGGGTGAGAGGAAGGGAGACGAGACTGGGCATGAGTTATTCTGACTACAGCTTGTTACTTGAACAAGGCAGACCATAACGTCACTCAGGTTGCGGGAGGTTGGGGATCCAGGTGAAGGCACGGCAAAGATAAAGTGGGAAAAATGGGTAGAAGGAGAAGAGGCGACGAGGATAGGTGATGCAACCAGGGGTTGAAAGAGATGCATGCATGGATTAGCACTTAGTGGGAATATACGCGTATAGCGTATATTCGCGTATCGTATATACGCTAACGCATATACGCTAAACGCTGAAGGGTCGGCTTTGGGAATCCGCTTTTTCGGGCAGGGAAAAACATTCCCGGGCAGGGTGAAAAACAATGTCGTGCTCAACATCGGGAAGGTTTTCCATTACTAAGAATCTTGTAGCATTCTCCTAAGTCTGAACTTCAATTAGGGTGGGTGGGATGTCTAGTAGACACTATCTAGAAGTAGGAATCGGGAAGAGCTCCGTTGGGAATCGGGAAATGTCGAGTGCAGTTGAGCTGGCTGGTTAGTAGCGTGACTGGGGTTTGCTGGGGGGACGTTTGACAGGTTGGAGTTCGTAGATGGAATGGATTTCAAAGAGGTACTAAGGGCGTGGGCAGCGCGTTCATTTTCTCCACTTTTCCAAAATTTTGACGCCCGTCGAATCAGGAAAATACTGTAGCATTTTTGCACCGCGCTTAGTTTGTGTCCCAGGTGGGACACGCGCGTCCAGAATTAGGCACAGGTCCCGCCACACTTTTGCCCAACCGCCCACCCAATGAGGTAACCCTGTGCTAGTGGATCTGGTGACGGGGAGCAGTACGAAGCTGTATTTGTGAACCCATGAATTTGCGAGGGTCGTACGCGCTTGACGAACTCGTGGTGCGGTTTCGCTGACCTGCACACAGGCATTCTCGAATGATGCGCGTGTTGTTCGCGGCCGTCGTGTTCTGTTCGGTTGACGGCACGGAAAACAGCCACCGTTCATCCACTGTATACTCCATCGTGTCCGCTCGTAACTCTAAATCAGGGTTACAAAGCGCTGAATCTGGTAACTGTTTCGGGCTAAGCCAAGAAAATGAACGCGCTGCCCCCGCCCTAATCAATATTGTAGATCTGAACTGCCAGACACGATTGTAAGGCCCATTCCCGCTTCCCTACAACCCCGAATTGCACCTCGACTTTGGCGAAATGCTCACCAGGAGATTCCGCATCTTTCCGTATACACACGATTTTTTTTCCCGGGCAGCCCCAAAAAAAATCTGAAAGCGTATAGCGTATTAGCTAGCGTATAGCGTTTTGCGTTTGAACGCAAGCGTATATACGCTATACGCTTTAGGTTCTGAGCGTATATTCCCACTAAGGATTAGCGAACACTGGCCAGCGGCAAGCATTCGGTGGGCGAGAGGGCAGAGCGGGGTGATGGAAGAAGGTGAAGGAAATGCATTCTGCGTGTGGTGAGAGGCGGATGAACGTCCCACCCGCGCATAATGGAGGCAGGGGACATGCTGAAAGGAAGAAGGGTGCAGAGAAACGAAAGCACGGGGGCCAACCGACCTTGTGAGGTGAGTGGTGAGCAAATAGATGGATAGCGTGGAGTCTGTGGACTGACTGAATGGCGCGGACTGGCTGGCCAGAGGACTCACACCGGAAAGGGCAATCTGCTAGAAGGCGTCGATTTTAGCAAACTCGCGTCACTTTCGGCGACCAAAAGTCGCCGATCTGCACGGATGGGCAGTTACAAATCCGCTTATAAGCGCAGATCAGCGGTTAAAAACGACAGTCCGCGCAAAAAGGATCGCCGATCTGCTCGGATCTACGGTCGGAATGCACCGTTTTGCGCAGTTCGACGATCAACATCGCCAATCCGCGGAAATTGGTGGGCTACAGTGTCAATCCGCACAGATGTAACGGCGGAAATTCAAGCGACACTCACAAGCTACGACACTCACAAGCTACGACACCCACAAGCTACAACACTCACAGGCTAGGACACTCAAAGGCAGGTCAGTCAAATCACACCATGCCACTGAAAAGCCACATTACTGGATAAGTTCAACCTTGACTCGACTCAAGTTGACTCGCCCTGCACACATGTCTAGGTCAGCCACAGACGAGATCAGTCACAGGATAGGTCCGACAAGTTTTGTCAGTCACGGCAAGATCAGTCACGTGCGGGGTCGCTTACCGTTTAGGTTGGTCACAAGCTGAGGTGGTCACAGGCTACGCCGGCCAGAGCCTGGGAGAGTGGCAACGTGATTTTTTGAACCAGAAAGAGGAAGCACAATATGGGAAGGGGCTGGGCAAAAACTGTGAGCCTAAGCCAAAGATTGAGTCAGTCCGAGCCTATGTCAGTCCGACCCTATGTCAGTCAGGCCTAGGTCAGTCAAAGCCTAGGTCAATCAAAGCCTGCGTCAATCCGAATGTAACACCCAAGGCTATTATAATGGAGTTACAAGACTTTTATAATAGATCCAATACAAGATGAAGCTCTAACTAGCTCCCAAGAGCCTTGGAGGTCTCAATCTTCTTGAAGGAGTTGTTGAGATAGCTTGAGAGAATTGTGTAGGAAGGCTTGTGAGAGAACCAACCAAGACTTAGAGAAACAATCCCATTTCCAATTGTTTAGTTGGAGTGGGAGGTTGAGAATGAGCTTGGTTAGCTCAAACCCCCTCAATACACCCCTTGGTGGACTTTCCCAACCATGGTTTCCATGGTGGGATGGTCCCTAGGCTTGGAGCCTATGTGGCAAATAGTTGGGTTGGGAAAACCCAACCTAGAACCATTTGTATGGTTGTTTTTAAGATAGAGTAGGTTGTAACATTCAAGTGGCAGTTTCTGATTGGTTCGAAATCCAACCTTTGGATTTCCACTTTGATGGGTTGGAATATTCCAATCCTCTTGGTTGAGGTTTGGAATTTCCAATCCAACCTTTTCCTTCCAACCCAACCCTTCTTTCCCAATCCAACCTTTACTTCACTCGTAGCACAATTTCTATCGAGAGCAATCTCGATGAATGCCTCGAGTGTTAGCTAGCTTGGGAGTTAGGTTAGAACTAGGTCGATGCGTTACACTCCTCCCCCCCCAGGTGGCAACGTCCTCGTTGCCCTAGGGTGCTTCTGAGGACGAGTGCTTCGAGCACGGCGCACCACATTACGACCAGGGTCAACCCCGTCCACTGGTTGTGGGCCGGCTCGTAGAGCCAGGTCTTCCATATACGCTTGAACCGCTGCTTTGGTCAAGTGTTCCTCAGGCTCCCATGAGTTGTGTTCCGGCCCATAGCCTTTCCACTGAATTAGGAACTCACGAACTGTTTTGCGGCCGCGTTGTCGATCACGGTGCGTAAGCACACGCTCGACTTCGTAAAAGAGTTCCTTCTCGAGAATGATAGTTGGTGGCGGTAAGTACTTGCCTTCAGCAACATACTTATTCAACAGAGACACGTGGAAGACGTTGTGAATCTGAAATGTCGCAGGCAACTTGAGCCTATATGCGACCTCACCAACTCGTGTAATCACCTCGAAGGGCCCAATCCAACGAGGGAAGAGCTTTCGTGCTCCCGGGATCTTAAGACGAATGTTCTTCGTACTTAGTAATACTTTGTCGCCAACTGCAAAGACGACTTCCCGGCGTTTCATGTCGGCATAGGACTTTTGCCTCTGTTGGGCAAGCTGCAGCCAATGGCGAGCGGACTTCAAAGCCGCTTGCTGTTTTTCAATAAAGTCCTTTGCGGCAGGGATTTTGAGATTCTTAATCCCATGCGTCGCAGGGGTTGTGGGGTGCCGACCACAGTTCAGGACAAAGGGTTTCTCATGTGTGCTTTCATGCACAGAATTGTTCACAGCGAATTCTACGACTGGCAACAATTCATCCCAATCGTCCTGAGTTGGGCTTATGAAAGAACGAAGCATTTGCTCAAGAGTGCGGTTGGTCCGCTCTGTCTGTCCATCCGTTTGTGGGTGGAAAGCAGATAACATCTTGAGTTTCGTTCCAAGTGTCTTAATGACCTCTTGCCAGAACCGGCTTGTGAAGCGCGGGTCTCGGTCAGACACCATCACACGAGGCAAACCGTGTAAGCGGAAAACGTGCGTCACAAACAACTTTGCCGTATCCTCCGCAGACACGTCAGTCGTCGTGGGCACGAAGTGCACCATTTTGGTCAAGCGATCAACAAACACCAGTATCGCTGTATGACCATCTCGCGTCTTGGGGAGATCGGTGATAAAATCCATCGATACACTCTCCCAAGGTTCATCGGGAATCTCGAGTGGTTGAAGCAAACCACCAGGCTTCTGTGTGCTTGGCTTGTTCCGTGCACACGTGTCACAGCGAGTTACAAACTGCTGGACCTCGATGCCCAATCCCGGCCACCAGTATACATCACTGAGAGCCCACCGGGTTTTCTTGACACCCAGGTGTCCTCCATACTTAGTGGCGTGCACCTCTGCTAGAATATCATTCCGCAGGTTCCCCACGTGTGGAACAACAATTTCTTTCTTGTGCCACCAGAGCTCATGCTCCCACAAGAGATTGTTTGTATTCTGTGGGTTCTGAAACCAAGGGTCAATATTATACCCTGCGCGGATGCGTTTCAGAAAACCACCAAAGGCAATCTCGCTCACTCGAGCAGCTGCGAGAATGTTGAAACAAGCAGCAAACACTGCTTCATGCTCATTATCATCAACATCCGTGGCTGCACCAATCGGCTGTCTGCTCAGAGGATCAGCCATGTTCGTCGAGCCCGCTCGATATCGAATATCGTAGGTGAACCCACTGAGGAGTTCAGCCCATCGAGCTTGACGGCGGGTGAGTGTGGCTTGAGTGGCAAAATAGGTGTTCGGACAGTGGTCGGTCGTGACCACGAAGTCAACACCTTCGAGATAACATCTCCATGTTCGTAGCGCATGCACAACTGCCAACAATTCCTGGTCGGAAGTTGTATAGCGCCGCTCAGCAGGGGAAAGCTTTCTACTCTCAAATGCCACGGGGCGTCCTTCTTGCAAAAGAACTGCTCCAATCCCTACTGTCGAGGCATCAGTTACTACCTCGTAGGGCTTAGACGGGTCTGGCAATGCCAGCACTGGAGCGTTGGTCAGCATGGTTTTCACCTCCTCAAATGCCTTCTGGCACTGATCGGTCCACTGCCAAGCATTACCCTAGCGAGTCAGGGCAGTCAGTGGGGCGACTACGGAGGAATAATTCTCCAAGAAACGGCGAAAATAATTTGCAAGTCCAAGAAATGATCTGACCTGTCCCACGTCCTGTGGAACGGGCCACTGTTGGACTGCCGCCACTTTCTTTGGATCAACTTTTAGGCCATCGTTGCCTGCCAAGTGACCAAGATATTCCAGCTCGCGTTTATAGAAGTGACACTTCCACAACCGAGCATAGAACTTGTGCTCTTGCAATTTTCGTAACACCCACTTCAGGTGTTGCGTGTGTTCTTCTTCAGTCTTTGAGTAAACGAGGATATCATCCAAGTATACCAAGACGAATTGGCCGATTGCCTCCCGAAATACGTCATTCATTGCACGTTGAAATGACGCTGGAGCATTTGTCAAGCCAAAACTTAACACACGCCACTGAAAATGTCCAAACGGCGTTCGAAAAGCCGTTTTGGGAACATCTTCCTCAGTGATGCGCAGCTGATGATAGCCTTGAGCTAAGTCCAGCGCGCTGAACCACTGAGCTCCTTGGAGCCGATCAAACAAATCCTCTATGCGTGGTAGAGGGTATCGGTTCTTCACCGTAATCTTGTTCAAGGCACGGTAATCTACGCACATGCGTAATCCTCCGCCCTTCTTGTTAACGAACAAAATCGGTGCTCCGTAAGGGGATGCACTGGGTTCAATCCATCCTTTTCTGAGGTATTCCTCGATCTGTTGTTTAGCCTCCTCGTACTCAGCTGGACTGAGGCGATACAGAGGTCGAAAGGGTGGAACCTTTCCTGGTTCAACAGGGATGGTATGGCCCACTGCGCGGTCAGGTGGAAGTCCATCGGGGATGGCTTCAAATACTTCCTTGAATTCATCTGCCAGTATTTTCATTTGAGGAGGGAAATCCTCAATTGCTGGCTCCGAGGCCTCGACATTTTCAAGCTGTACCACGAATAGTGTATCAGCTGATTTAACAAAATGCCCGAACTGGTTGGCCAACACACACAGCGCGCTAGGACGTTCCGGCGTCTGTGTGTCTGTGAGCAAAGTATCATTGACTTGCCACTGGATTGCCTTTCCGTTCTTGTTGAACGAGACAATGTTGTACTGGAAGTCCAGAATGACTTCGTTGGCTCGCAACCAATCCATGCCCAGGATGAGGTCGACACCTGACAAAAGTGGCAGGACATACACGCGAATTGTTTCGCTGTAATCCTGTACATTCATGTCGATATGTGTCTGTCCTTTACTTGGAATGACACGATCGTCACCCAAGCGAATGGGACAAGACGGTCCTGCAACGAGGACGTTGTGCGTCGTAACCCAAGTTTCATCAACAAGAGAAACCGACGCGCCCGTATCGACAAGAATCCTAGCTTCGTCCCCGTTCATGCGTCCAGATAACAGTAGATTCTGTAAGAGTCTTGGGTCGATAGTACGCCCTAAATTTGTTGTGAGCACGTCCAAACCTTTGGGAGCTGGTCCACCAGACATGGTGCCCTTTGTCCCACGTTGCCAGGATATGCCATTCGTGAAATCGGCGGAATAATTCTCCTTTTACGATTCGAATCACCAATCCCACTGATGTGAGCGGGTGCTCTTGGACACAACGGTCCACAAGATCCACGATTGCTGGCAACTCGTTGAACGAGCAAGAGATGATTGAAAATTTATCTCTCAAATATTCAATTGAAATGTTATCAAGTGGGTATGATCGAGTTTTAAAAACAGATTTTTCATTAATAGAAGAGGCATACAAACAAGCGATTTTGCAAGATGCAAGCTTCTCTAGCTTTAGCAAATCCTCATCACGAAGGACATAAGCCTCATCTACTCGATCTCGCTCACCAACTAGGTACCCACCCCCTAGTTGGACTTCGGAAATCCTTCGAACCCGAAGGGCCCGAACCATCCGGCTTCTTGCCCTGGTTGGGCTTGCCGGAGTTCTTGACGGACTTCCTCCAGCGGCAGTGGTAGGCCTTGTGGCCGGGCTTGCCGCAGATGCGGCAGCCCGCCGGAGGCTTATCCTCATCCTGAGGATCCTTGGGAGGCCCAGCGTGGGCCCTCTTGGACTGAGTCCCAGAGGATTCTCCCCTCTGCTGATAAGGCCTCTTCCAAGAGCCACCGCCCCTGGGTGCCTGGGTCCTGCTACCACCCCCCCCCTAGGGCCTTCGGCACTAGGCTGCTGCTGAGCACGAGTGTTCTTGAGGTCCAGGTACGCACGGAAGTGGACATCCGTGCTGATGACCTGCTCCTTACACTCCTTGTAGGTCTTCCACTGGTGCTCCCCCTTCACCACATGCACACGCTTGATGTGCTCGGGGAGACCCTTGAAGAACTGGTGGATGACCTCGCTCTCAGGAAGAGCAGTCTTCAGCAGCGACAGAGTTTTCTCAAACTCCTTGGCGTACTCGCGTACAGGCTGGTCACCGCACTGGATGTTCTCCAGGCGGCTACGCACCTCGAGCGCCGGGGGCTGCACCAGGAACGCCGTCAGCATGGCCGCTTTGAACTCCTCCCAGCCAAAAGGATGGCCATTCGCCTCTGCGTGGCGCTTGTTGGCATACACCAACTTGCTCGCAGTGTCGTCCAGGGCAAGGGTCGCAGCGACCACGCGAGCCTCGCTACGCACATTGTGGATGGACATAAAGTCCTCCGCAATGGAGAGCCAAGTCTCAACGTCCGTTTTGCCATGGACAAAACGAGGCAGGGCCGAAGGGCAGGAGCCAAAGGCATTTGCAGCTGCAGTAGGAGGCTCAGCACGGGCTCCAGTAGGGGGAGGAACCGCAGGAGATGCAGCAGCAGGTGCAGCCTGGCTGTTAGCGGCATTGGCTACTCGCTCTGCTGCAGGAGCAGGCTGATAGAGGTTGCCACGCCGGATCTCCCTGTACTGAGTCTGAAGCACAGAGATGCTTTTCTCGTGCTTCTTGAGCTGATCCTGTACGAACTGGAGAGTGGTCTGCAGGTCCTGAATGAAATTGGAGGTGTCGTTTCCCTTAGGAATCAACTGCACCTCCCTGGTCAGCTGCTCAATCAAGGCCTGAAGCTTCACAGAATCAGCCTCCAAGTTCTGGATGCGGCACTGCTGCTCCCCAATGAGGATATTCTGCTCTGTGATTTGAGTCTGGAGCTTAACAGCGATGTCCTCAGTCTCATTGGAAACACCCTCGTCAGAGCCAGCCCCATCCTCATTTTCAGCATCAGCATCAAGGTCAGCTTCACTTCCATTGATCTCCATGTCAACCACGAAATCCTCAAGGTTGAGATCAATGTCAGCAGCAGTAGAAGCATTATCTCCCTCATTGCCAGCAATGGGCACCTCCTTAGTAGCATCCATCTCTTGACCAGAAGCCATGAAATAGGTTAAGGAGAGGAGATCTCAACAGATCCTTTAATAATCTTTAAGAAATCTGATTACTCTTATAGAATAATCCAATACAGAATCTCTTAAGATTGACTTGTTTGCTAAATCTCCCTATCACCTCAATGATAGGGCAAGATATACTCAAAAGAGTAATCCTCAATTAGTCCTTGTAGATCTGAAGATAATCTTCCACCAAAGGTGGTTTAGAGTCTTCCACCAAAAGGTGGGTAAGAGAAATAAATTTCTCTTCAAATTTCTTCTCAATGTTGATGAAGAAGACCAAGATGCTTGTAGATCTTGCAAGCTCCGATGATGTGTTGAAGAAATTGAAGCTTGAAGTTTGGAGATTTTGTAGAAACTTTTGTAGATCTTGAAGAACCACTTGTAGATCTTGAAATTTCTTCAATATCTTCAAGATCTTGATATCTCCTTGGATGAAATCCTAGGTCCCCAAGCTAGGATCCTCTAAAATATATATATATATATATATAATAATCCAAGTAGCAAATGGCCACACAAGGCCAAGAAAGAACCTTGCTCTATATACCAATGTAACACCCAAGGCTATTATAATGGAGTTACAAGACTTTTATAATAGATCCAATACAAGATGAAGCTCTAACTAGCTCCCAAGAGCCTTGGAGGTGACAATCTTCTTGAAGGAGTTGTTGAAATAGCTTGAGAGAATTGTGTAGGAAGGCTTGTGAGAGAACCAACCAAGACTTAGAGAAACAATCCCATTTCCAATTGTTTAGTTGGAGTGGGAGGTTGAGAATGAGCTTGGTTAGCTCAAACCCCCTAAATACACCCCTTGGTGGACTTTCCCAACCATGGTTTCCATGGTGGGATGGTCCCTAGGCTTGGAGCCTATGTGGCAAATAGTTGGGTTGGGAAAACCCAACCTAGAACCATTTGTATGGTTGTTTTTAAGATAGAGTAGGTTGTAACATTCAAGTGGCAGTTTCTGATTGGTTGGAAATCCAACCTTTGGATTTCCACTTTGATGGGTTGGAATATTCCAATCCTCTTGGTTGAGGTTTGGAATTTCCAATCCAACCTTTTCCTTCCAACCCAACCCTTCTTTCCCAATCCAACCTTTACTTCACTCGTAGCACAATTTCTATCGAGAGCAATCTCGATGAATGTCTCGAGTGTTAGTTAGCTTGGGAGTTAGGTTAGAAGTAGGTCGATGCGTTACATCTCTAGTCGAGGAACCAGCGTCTGTTTGAACTCGCGCGGCCGCTCGAAGGGTCAGTGGGGACCGCTTGAAGCAGCAGCATGGGGAAGCCTTCAGGCAAGGCCGTGCTTGCGCTGCTCGCCGTCATGGTCGTCATCGCTGGTACGCCGCATTTGCGCGCTCACACGCTCATTCACCGTCTTTCTCATTCGCCTCCTACTCATGATGCACTCCTCGCATCGCCATCCTGCTCACACGTTCAATGCACCTCACACGAGAATAGGCACAAGTCGCTCTCGCATTGCACACACATGATGTCATCCGTGAATGCCACTAAACGCGCCGCCTCGCCCCGTGCACCTTCGCATGTCCCGTGCTCTCCCATCCCATCCTTGCAGCGAGTCCCCTGCAAGCGTCGCTGGCAATAGCCGCGAGCGTGGTGGGCACGCGGATGAGGATCAGCGGCCTCTCTCTCACCTTCTCATGTCCCGTGCTCTCCCATCCCATCCTTGCAGCGAGTCCCCTGCTGGTGTCGCAGGCAATAGCCGCAACATCGGCGAGCGTGGTGGGCACGCGGATGAAGATCAGCGGCCGCTCTCTCACCTTCAAACCGAGCCGCTGTGTCGCCATTCCAGCCAGCAGCGGGAATTGGAGCGTGCAGGTGTTATGGCAGCAGGAAGGCAAGGCGGATTGCATGGCGATTCAGTTCTTCAAGAGTTCCAAGTGCACGGGGAAGGCGGTGGACACTGTCGCGCAAGGCGAGCAGAGGTGAGCCCCTCGTTCTTTGTTCTTCGTTCTTCGTTCTCACTCTATCTGCTCGCATTGCGAGCATGGCATGCTCTTAACGTCGTGCCTTCGCCCCCGCTCTTAACGCCATGCCATGCCTTCACCCCCCACCACCTGACCAACAACCTGCTCTCATGGTTCCTCCCCTCCCCATGCCGTGCCCAGATCCAAGCCCCTCGACAAGGCACTCAATTTCGCCCGCTGCATCGTTGAGTACCCCGACGCAGAGAGCTCAAAATGTAAGCCCCAATGCAATGCACTTGTTCGCCATCCCGTGAAGAAAGGAGTGTTTTGAGACGTCTTAATACACTCCGTTCTTCAAGTTCGCCCGCTGCATTGCATTGTTGAGTACCCCGGAGCCGAGAGCTCAAAATGTAAGCCCCAATGCAATGCAGCTGTTCGCCATCCCGCTCTCCTTACTCGCAAAAACCGAGGGGCTATGTAGGGGCTGGCTGGCATCGCCTGTGCCCCTGAAATGGGAAGCACCGTTGCCTGATCAAAGCATTTCAGTACTGACAGCAGCAATGCTGCTCGCCTTCTCTGCCCTTTCCTGTCCCACAGATCCCCCAATTGTATCCTCCTTGCCACTCCACTGCCTGCCATCCTCTGCTCCTTTTGTGTGTCCCCCGCTAGCGGGCGAGTGTGGCAATGACAGAGTCAACCCGTGCTTGGGGGGCACGTGCATCGACCGCGGCACCAAGGGCACGACCTGCGTCTGTCTGCCCAACCACCGCTCTCATGGCAGCTACTGTGGTAAGCTCTCCCTCTGCTCGCAAACTCAAGGTGTGCTACTGTGCCACTTTTCGAGCTACTTCTCAAAGTCGCTGCCACGTAAAGAGATGGTTCCAACCTGAGGCTCCATCGGACAATGGCAGATGAGTTTGGGAGGCCTTTTCCTCCATCACAGTCTTAGGCATCACAGTCCTAGGAATCACAGTCCTAGGCATCACGTATGTGGCATCTTCACCCTTCACCCTTCACGTTGAACATGTGCAGGTCAGGATTGGGAGGCCATTTCGTCCATCACAGTCGCAGGCAGCGACTGGAGGTGCAAGGACGTGTACACCATGTATGGCCTCACGCTGCAGCAGTTCACCGACATGAACCCGGTGAGTCCCGTGGGTCTGATTGGAGGTGCCTTGAAACCCACAGCATGTGCCAGGTCTCAAAGGTCACCGACATGAACCCAGTGAGCTCTGCAACATGCTGTGCCTACCCATCTCAATCCCTGCAAGCCTATGTGCCTTTATTGATCATCTCAAGCCGTTCTTGTTTCTGTGCCGTCTGTCCCTCCCCCCCTCGCTTACCCCCTCCGCCTCTCACCCTCCCTCTCTTTCCACCTCACCTCTCTCTCACCCTCCCCCTCTCCCCTCTGCTCCACTGTCTCCCTCTCTCTCACCCTATCTCTCCCTCTCTCACTGCCCCTTCCCCTCCAGGGTATCGACTGCTCTGCTCTCCTTCCTAAGGGTCGCGAGCTCGAAGTGAAAGAGCTTCTGTCAAATTGCTCTACCTTCTACTACGTCCAGCCAGTGAGTCTAGCATGGTGCTCCCTCCTGCTATGTATGGATAGCGGGGATGCTACCAGTGCCACCATGTGCTGCCATGTGATGTGCTTCCTCTTCGCCCCTCACGTTCCCCTAGCCATCCTGCGCCCAAGCAGCAGGAAGGCCATGTGCTACTCGGTCCGTTCCGTTTTGCACCGCTACTATCGTTCTTTGTGTTCCACCACTACCTCTGTGTTTCCGCATCTTCATTCACTCCCTTTGACCACCCCTTTCCTTCTCAAACCCCCCCACCCTCTCCCCCCCCCTCCTACCATCAACCCCTTCCCTTCCGCTTCCACAGGCCGACACATGCTCGTCCGTGGCTCAGTTTCTCAGCATCACCGAGGACAGCCTGCAGCAGCTCAACCCCGGCGTTAGCTGCTCCTCTCGCCTCCTTGCGTTCCGTGCTCTCTGTGTGGAGCGCGACCCAGCTAAAGCCAGGCCGAGATGTGTCAAGGAGATACAGATCGGCTGAGTGGTGGACTTCAAGCACGTGGCAGCATCCAATAAAGCCACCATGGTGGACCTCTGCAGGCTCAACCCCTGGATCTCCCTCCGCAATTCTCTATGATGGTGTACGTTTAAGGCAAACGACAGAGTAGTTGGTGGTTGTGCCTTACGTGTGGTGTGGATACATATTTCATCTGTACGTCGTACATATTTCATCTGTACGTCGTACATATTTCATCTGTACGTCGTACATATTTCATCTGTACGTCGTACATATTTCATCTGTACGTCGTACATATTTCATCTGTACGTCGTACATATTTCATCTGTACGTCATCCATATTTCATCTGTCCGTCGTACATATTTCATCTGTACGTGGTACATATTTCATCTGTACGTCGTACATTTTGTAAGATGGATGAGTTCCTATGTGTGCCGTATGTGTTCGAAACTAGGATTGAGGCTTGCTTTCATCCGCATGCGTGCAGCATGCTTTCATCCGCATACGTGCACAGCATGCTTTCATCCGCATGCGTGCACAGCATGCTTTCATCCGCATGCGTGTAGAGCATGCTTTCATCCGCATGCGTGCACAGCATGCTTTCATCCGCATGCGTGCACAGCATGCTTTCATCCGCATGCGTGCACAGCATGCTTTCATCCGCATGCGTGCACAGCATGCTTTCATCCGCATGCGTGCACAGCATGCTTTCATCCGCATGCGTGCACAGCATGCTTTCATCCGCATGCGTGCACAGCATGCTTTCATCCGCATGCGTGCAGAGCATGCTTTCATCCGCATGCGTGCAGCATGCTTTGTAGCTTCTTATGATTCCAGTCCTTGATTCCTGTGTGATTAATTGCAACCGGTGCATCTTTCTTTTGCAGATTTGTGTGGCTGCCCAATACCCGACACCTCCTCCTAGCGACACCACAACTCCTGCCAGCGACACCACAACTCCTGCCAGCAACGCCACAGCTCCTGCCAGCAACACCACAGCTCCTGCCAGCAACA